TCTGAGCCAGGAGGATCAGGTTCAAGGCCCACCTGCTCCCGGTGGTGTGTAATAACACCTTTGAACGGGTTGAATAGAAAATAACTATTATAGGGGGCAGTATAACGAAGCTTCTATACAATTGACACAAGACTTCACTATTCCTGCACATAAGTAGTCCTAGAATAAAGGCGAACATTCCACTATCCTTCCTAATAGCTTGTTGCACCTGCATGTTAGACTTCAGTGACATCATTGTCCACGTACATTTTGCAACTTCACCGTTTAATAAATACTGTACATATCTGTACGTCCTACCAAAGCGGATAGTTTCATATTTTTCCATATTATATCCATTTGCCAAGTTCTTCCCCAGTAAGCGATGCTGTCCAAATCTGCCTAAAACCATTTTACATCTTCCTCACAATACACATTCCCACTTAGCTTTGTATTGTCTGCAAATTTTGAAATATTCCATTTGGTACCCTCCTCCAAATCATTAAAAGTATTGTGAACAGCTGCAGCCCAAGTACTGATCCTTGTGGTACCCCACTTGTCATAGCCTGCCAATGTGAGAATGACCCATTTATTCCTACTCTCTGTTTTCTGCCTGTTCATCAATCAGTAGTCCATGCCAGTACATTACCTCCTATCTTACGCGCTTTAATTTTTCTAACGACCTTCCCATGGGGAACTTTAACAAAAGCTTTCTGAAAATCTCCTATATCCATTAGCCCTCTTTTACCCATTTTGTGAGTAATAACTTCAAAAAAACTTTGTTAGTCAAACATGATTTCTCATTGAAAAGTCTGTGCTATGTCTGATTAGACCATTATTATAAGTGTCTATTTATAACATCCTTTACAATAGATTCTAGCATTTTCGTTACAGCTGATATAAAGCTAACAGGCTGTAATTCCCTGTTTCTCTCTTGCTGCCTTCTTAAAAGTTGAGGTGATATTTCCTGACTTCCAATCCACAGGAATCATTCCTGAATTTATGGAATTTGGGAAAATAACCAACAATGCATCGATTATCTCTATAGCCACCACTTGTAACACGCTGAGATGTAGACCATTAGGTCCTATGGATTTATCAACTTTTAGCCTTGTTAATTTCTCCAGTATAATCTTCTTACAAATGCTAATTCCTTCAACTCCTCGTTCTAGTTCCTTGGACCTGTTGGAGGTTTCTTGTACCTTCTACAGTGAAAACGGACTCAAAGTAATCATTTAGCTCACATGGTATTTCTCTATTTCCCACACTCCTTACTCAGATTGTAAAGGAGCCACATTCACTTTAGCCAAACAATTTCCTGTTTACATACCTATAGAAGCTTTTACAGTTTTCTCATTTATCAGTCCATGTCCAAAACCATCAAGATCTAGATAGTTTCCCGGCTTGGGCTGAAAAGTGACAAATAACATTCATACCACACAAATGGCAGGCATTGACTATCTCCAATAAGAGGCAATCTAACCACTGCCCCTTGACACATAATGGCATTGCTATTAGTAAATCCAGCACTATCAACCTTGGGGTTACCATTAATCAGAAACTGAACTAGACTCACCATGTAAATATAGTGGCTACAAGAGTAGATCGGATGCTAGGAATACTACAGCAAGTCACTACAGCAAGTAAAGCCTGTCCACCATTCACAAGGCACAAGTCAGGAGTGTGATGAAAGACTCCCTACTTACCTGGATGGGTGTAACTGTGATAACACTGAAGAAGCTTGACCCCATCCAGGACAAGCCAGCCTGCTTGATTGGCACCACCCCCCACAAACATTCAGTCTCTCAACTACTGATGCTCAGTAGCAGCAGTATGTACTAGCGACAAGATGCATTGCAGACGTTCACATAAAATCCTTAGACGGCACATTCCAAACCCACGACCACTACCATCTAGAAGGACAAGGGCAGCAGATACATGGGAACACCAACACCTGCAAAGTTCGCTCAAAGCCACTCACCATCCTGACTTGGAAATATATTGTCATTCCTTCAGTGTTGTTGATCAAATCCTGGAATTCCCTCCCAAAGTGCATTGTGGATCTACTTACAGCAGATAGACTGCAGCAGTTCAGGAAAGCAACTCACCATCACCTTCCCAAGGACAACTTTGGATGGGCTAAAATGGAGGCGCAGCAAAACCCACATTTCAAAGTGAATCTTTGTTTAAAAAGTATGTTTTTATGTTTATTTGCTGGGTTGTATTAATATTCTAAGCTTCCATTCCTTTCCAGTTTCTTGGTCATCCTTAGCAGTATTCTTAAAAACTCTCTTAATTTTCAGATTTACTGTTATTTCTGGCAACTTTTTAAACCTTTACTTTTTATCTTAATCCTGAATCTCCTTTGGTAACCACAATTAACTGACCTTTGTTGAGTTTTGAATCTAGCACTGCCATTTGGTCACTAATAAATAAGTCCAACCAATTTTTGCTGCCCCTTGCTGTTTTATAGCTCCACCTAACAGATATCATGATTTGTTCTTCTGAGATCCTTCCTTCCTAATGCACTGATCCCATCTCATAATATCAGTGCAAATTCACTTCCTTTTCCTTTTGTCAGTTCTTCCTAAACGTTGAATATTCTTGAATGTTCTGTTCCCACCCCTGGTCACAAGGCAGCCATGATTCTATAATAGCAATTAGATCATGCCCATTTACCTCTGTTTATGCATTTATATCATATACTTTGTTGCCAGTGTTGTGTATGTTCAAGTAGAGTGCCCTAACTTTGTCTTTTTGACATTATTCTGTTTTTGAAACATACTTAATGATTGGCATTGTTTCTTCAGTCTTCTAGTCTCCCTAAGCATCTTTTTGATTTCCTGTTAACAACTTTACTTCTCTTCAGGTTCCCTCACTATCCCATTCCCTTGATAAGCAGGTTTAAACTTCCCCCAGCAGCACAAGCAATCTTGCCGTAAGTCTATCAGTCCCAGTCCCATTAAGGTGTAACTAGTTCAGCTTGTATAGATCCCACCTGCTTAGAACTGGTGCCAATTCCTCACAAATCTGATGCCCTCCCTTCTACACCAGTTCTCCAGCCATATTTTCAATCATTCAGTCATCCTGTTCTTATGCTGTCTAGTACATGGCACTGGGGGAGTAATCCCAAGATTACTGTTCTTGACATCCTGTTGTTTAGTTTCCTTCCTAACTCCCTGAAATCTGCCTTCAGAACCTTGTCCTTCTTCCTATCTGTGTCATTGGTATCAATGCAGACCATGACTTCTGGCTGATCCTCGTTCCCCCAGAAGGATGTCCTCGAGCTGCTCCATGACATCTTTGACCTTGGCACCAGGGAGACAGTGCACCATACTGGAGTCACATTTAACGCCTCAGAAATGCTTTCCATCCCTGTCTATGAAGCCGGCTATAACAGTTGTTGTTCCACTCTTCTTCCTTCACCCCTGTATATCTGATATACCTGTGGTACCATGGGCTACGATCAGACTGCACTTCCCTCAGGAGCCATTATGCCGGCCAATTTCCAAAATGGAGCACTGATTAGCGAATAGATAAACTTGGTATTTTTGCATTTCCTTCCAAGTTTTCTTAGACCTCTCATTGTCATGCATTCCTGCAGTGTGACCACCTCCCTATACTTTCTATCCATGTAGTCCTCCGCCTCATGGATGCACAACAGTAACTCCAGTCACTACCCATGTTCCAAAACTTGGAGCTCAAGCTTTGTTGTTTGTTACACTTCCTGTTAATTCTAACTAGGTGCTGAGACTGTTGAAATAAGCAAGTAGAATCCATGTGCTTGAGTTCAATTCAATCAAAAGGCATGGCACCTATTAACATTGTTAAATTTACCCCCAGCTCTCTCAATTTGAAAAATGCCATGAGATCTTTTATAGAATCATAGAATCCCTACAGTGTAGATAGAGGCCTTTTGGCCCATCGAGTCAGCACCAACCTTCCTACGCAGACCCACCATTATGCATGCTGAAGCAATTTATTAGAGTGCCTGCATATCATATTAAGGTTATGATCCTGGTGCTGAAAACTGGTTTGGTGTGTAATTAACCATAAAAATTCAATAAGCTGAAGGGCCTCTTTCGTACTGTACGATTTTATGATTATATGCTACAATTGGACACTTTGTATGTTATATCATAATGATCAGCATTTGTATATAGATCAGTATTTGTTGTACAGTAATCATTGATAAATATAAAGTCATTATAGTCCCCGAGGACCATAGGGCTGCTCTCTTACGAAAGAGAGACGGCTGGTGGTGGTTTAACCTAAGGGGCATTATGCCTCAGGTGGTGGGAGACGTTGAGATGGAGAGTCCCTTACGGTAACCTTACCCAGTGCAGGAATGAACCCACGCTATTGGCATCAGTCTGCAATACAAACCAACCATCCAGTCAACTGAGATAACTTAACCCCCATATATGTATTATAGTGCTGAATGTATTATGTAGTAATCATGAGCAATTGTAACTCGGCACTTTTTCAGTTATAGAATAATCTGGTAAATACTCTAGCATTGTGTATTGGGTACTGAGTATGGGGAAGATGGTGCTGAAGTGGTAATGTAACTGGACCAGTACTGTAGTCGATCCCAGGCTTGTGGTGTGGGATGTGGTATCATCTGGTGAAATTTAAAATAACAAAAAATTGAAATTAAAGGCTATTCTGAGTAACAGTGATAATGAAACTATCATCAACTGTTGCAGATACCTATCCAGTTCATTAATGATTTTCAGCAAAGTATTATATGTTTAACAAATACGAGGAAATACACTCCAAACGTGCCTTACATAATAGACAATCACTGATAATTATACTCCAGCAATGTCAGGTTAGTACAACATTCCAACACTTGTTTGCTAATTAGTTTTGGAATGAGGATAACTGAATTTGGGAACAATTTGACACTCTAGGATGTTGAGATAAAAACACTGGGAGAGTGTGGTTCACAACTCGCGAATATCTGCTATATCTCCTGTCACATCTGCTTAATTTAGTTGCATTCTCTTTGTCTCCAACAGATTCCTGCTTGTCTTCAGTTGTCTCGTCCTGTCAGTGTTTTCCACCATACCTGCGCACCAGGATGTGGCAAATTCCGGACTCTTTATTCTGGTAAGAGGAACGGTGGGGCAAGTTTAACTGCGCGTAAATGTAACTAGCTGATTTACAATGATCCAGAATGGAATGGCTGGAACAGTAATTAGGATCAGCAGATTGTGCAAGTAATAGTCTAGCCCAGTCACAGGTGATGCAGATCACCTGTCCCAGTGATCTATTGGATGATGCCAATATGGTAGTGAGTCATTCAACTGCAGGCCCCTGGAGACCATGAGAAATAGGACCACAGATAAGAACATAAGAACATATGGAAAAGCCATTGGAGAATACCATGTAGCCCTTTAAGTCTACTCCGCCAACCAGTCTTTAATGCACACAATGTTTCAGCATTCACAATTCTTTAGGGTAGAGAATTCCAAAAACTCTCAAAGCTTTGAGTGTAAAAAATTCTTCTTATCTCAGTCTTGAACAGCTTATTCGTGACTGTGACCCCTTGTTCTGAATTATGAGCCAAGGGAAATATATTCTTAGCGTCTAACATAGCCTTGTCCAATGTTTTCACAATCGAGGGCACATTGTTCACTTTTTCTCACACATGAAGGGATTGGTGAACAAGTTTTATTGAAATAAGGTTTGGTACAATGATAACAATGATTTTCTTAAAAATTCCAAATCAATGATTGATCATTTAAATAAATGAATAATTAATTAAAATAAGAGTTAAAAAAGTGGCAAGCAGCAGAGGGAACGAAGAAAACCTTCTTTATCTTTTCAGTTAAGAAACAGAAATAGAGACAGACTGGGTCCCCAGTCCTAATCACTAGTGAATGAGAGAGGACTGAGAACAAGCAAAGGAGTTGGGTTGAAGTAACACTGACGTTTAGTCTCTGGTGGCAAACATCCTAAGCAGGTCTTGGCAGAATTCATATGAAAATGGAAATTGGAACCAGATTGCCTGTCAGCCCGGATCATCTTACTCTCCCAACCTACTTTCTGGTGGATTTTATGGAGAGTAGTGTGTGGAAGGGTAAATTGAGTGTGTGTCTGGCTTACTTGGTCTCTGTTCATACATACTCTCATTGCGTTCCCAGATGTCCCGCACCTCCGTACACACAGTACCAGTCTCCCTTCCCTTCTAACTCCATTCCTGCCACACTTCTCATTTCCCTCTCTCCCTCACTATCTCCAAGTCTCTCCTACACTGTCTCACTATCCGTAAATATCTGCCCATCACTTCCCCCTCCCTCCACTCTTTTTACTTCCCCCTCCCTTCAACCTTCACATTCCCTCCAACCTTTCACACTCCCCCACCCTTCACTCTCCCCTTCCTCCATCCTTCACTCTCCCCTTTCTCCACCCTTCCTCCTTCCCCTTCCTCCACCCTTCATTCTCCCCTTTCCTCCATCCTTCATTCTCCACTCCTTCCATCCTTCATTCTTGCCTTCTTCTTCACATCCTTCACTACCCCCTGTCTCAATCACTCACACCCCCAATACTCTGTCCTCAGGAAATCTCTCTTTGTTCCATCTCACTCCCCCATTCCCACTTTTTTCCACTCCTCCACACTCAGTCAGTCATCCCTTCATTCACTCACTTTCACTCACTCACTTTCACTTACCCCATGCATCCCTCAATTCTCACGCCCCCCCTCTCCATCACACACACGCACATCACAGAAACCCCCCAAACTTCCCCTCTGGCTTCCCTAGGTGTTTGACACAGAAACCCAATCTGGCCAGTGAGAGAAGCGGCTTCTGATTGGATGAACCGCTCCTTACGAAATCTTTCACATGTATCTACCAACATTTGAAACAGCAGCTACTGGTTAGATAGGAGCCCACAGGCTGTTGGATAAGCCTGAGTTAACCCTTAAAAATGTTTTATGTTTTAAATTAGATTACCATTTTCCTAAGCTCCAGTGAATATAGGTTTTGTCTACTCAGTCTTTCCTCAGAAGACAAAAATACTGTTCCAGAAACCAGTCTCATGAACGTTCACTGCGCTTCCTCTCAGGCAAGACTGTGCAACTATTTATTTCCTTTGTTAAAGAGAGCAAAACTGCATAAATACTCTTGTACCTGGTATGATTGTACTAAGAACTCTTTACTGTTATATCGCAATCCATTCATGTAACAAAGACTAATATATAATTTGCTTTCCTAATTGCTTGCTGTAACTAATGCTAATTTTCTGTTTAAAAAAAAGAAAGGTGGACCCGAATGACGAACTAGTGGTCTTATCATTGGCTGCTGAAGAATTTTTTACAATAATATGTTTCCAGAACAATTAGAAAGGAGTCGTTACTGGACCTCATTCTCTGGAATGAGGTGGGCCAAGTGGATCAAGTGTCCACAGGGGAACATTTAAGGGACATGGATCATTGTATCATAAGGTTTTGGTTGGTGATTGAAAAGGACAAGGAACAATCAGGTGTAGGGATAATTGACTGGAAGATTGCCACCTTCAATGGATAACAATAGATTTGGTTCAGATATTTGGAATCAAAGATTAGCAGGTTGTACTGTCTGGGTGCATATTGGCCTGCTCTGCCCAAGACCGGAAGAAACAATAGAAGGTGATTTGCACGGCCCATACCATCACGGAAGCCAACCTCCCATCCATGGTCTCAATTTACATGGCTCACTGCCGTGGAAAGGCAGCCAACATCATCAAAGACCCTTCGCACCCTGGTAATGACCTCCTACAACTTTTTCTGCCAGAAGATACAGAAGCCTGAACACACGTACAAGAAGGTTCAGGAGCAGCTTCTTTCTGGCCATTATCAGACTGTTGAATGGACTCAATGGCCTCAAATAATGTAACCTGTATGCCTCTAAACCTGTACATCCTTTGCTTGCAGTGATTGCCTGTACCGCTCATAAACAAAGCTTTTCACTCTATTTCGGTACACGTGACAATAAATCAATCAATCAATCAGTTAAGCAGTAACTGACCAATAGGGAACCTTTAAAGAAAAGATTGTTCAAGTGCAGTCAAAGTATATTCCCGCAAAGGGAAAAGTTAGGACAAACTAATCCAAAATTCCCTGAATGACAAAAGAAATAGAGATTAAAATGAAGCTGGAAAAGTATGTTTATGACAAATTTCAGCTGGAAAATTGAACTGAGATCGAGCAGAATATTGATTCAGCCCAGTTCAAATGCGAATTGAAAAAGCGCATAAGAGAAGGAAAGAGAGAGTATGAGAAGAGACTGATGGCTGAAACCAAATCCCACATTGTTCTACAGAGACATAAGTATTAAAAGAGTAGTGAGAGAAGGGATAGCAGCAATTAGATATCAAAAGGAGATTTACATGTAGAAACAGGGGTGAGGTATTAAATGGATACTTTCCATCTATCTTTACCATGGACAAAGATGCTGTGCAAGTCATGGTGAAAAAGAATGTAGTTCAGGCACTTGAATGGTTTAAAATTGATAAAGAGAAAGAATTAGAGGGCTGTTAGGACTTTAAATTGATAAAGCTCTAGAACAAGGTGAGATGCATCTAAAGGTATTGAAAGAATTGAAAGTGGAAATTGTGGCGGCACAAGTCATGATTTCCAGTCTCAAACTCGGAGGTGGTACCCGAAGGAGTGGAGAATTGAAAATTTTACAACCTCCTTCAAAAAGGAATAAAGAAAAATCCAGCAATTATAGGTAATTTAATTTAACCTTGGTGGTGGGAAGACTTTTCTAATGACGAAGAAGATTGATGAAGACAGAGCAGTGGACGTTGCCTATATCAACTTCAGCAAGGCGTTTGACAAGATTCCACATGGTACACTGGTTAGCAAGGTTAGATCACGTGGAATACATGGAGAACTTGCCATTTGGATACAAAATTGGCTCGAAGGTAGGAGACAGAGGGTAGTGATGGAGGGTGCGTTTTAGACTGGAGGCCTGTGACCAAGAATTGGTGCTAGGCCCACTACTTTTTGACATTTATAGAAAATGATTTGAATGTGAATGTAGCAGGTATGGTCAGTAATTTTGCAGATGACACCAAAATTGGTGATGTAATGGATAGCGAAGAAGGTTACCTCAGAGTACAACAGAACCTGATCAGATGGGCAAATGGGCCGACGAGTGGCGGATGGAGCTTAATTTAAATAAATGTGAGGGGCTGCATTTTGAAATAGCAAATCGGGGCAGGATTTATACACTTAATGATAAGGGCCTGGGGAGTATTGCTGAACAAAGACACCTTGAGGTGCAGGCTCATTGAAAATTGAGACGTGGGCAGACAGGGTAGTGGCAAAGGTGTTTGGTATGCTTGCCTTTATTGGTCAGTGCATTGAGTATAGGAATTGGGAGGTCATGTTGTGGATATTGGTTGGGCCACTTCTGGAATATTGCATTTAATTCTGATCTCCCTCACAAGGTTAATGGTCACGTGAAACCACTACAATTACATCATTTTTATTGTTGCATTATTGCTAACTCTGTGATAGGAGTATGGCTGAGCATGTCAAATACAAAGTTGTATAAATCTATGGGATACTTCCAACAAAACACTGCATTGATGAAGACAATCCAATGTATATGCATAATGGTTGTTGATCAGATCCTAATGTGTCTAACAATATAATCAAGGTCTGGAGATCATTGCAGAGAGTGAACTTTCTGCCGTAGAGATACGTATGCCAGTGTTCATGATCGTAGATGCTTTATTCCTTCCTATTCACCAGTCAATTATTTGCATTCAGTTTCTGACAGTAAAGTAAAAGTAAAGTCACCATAGTCCTACCTGTCTATGGACAGCTAATGGTGGGTAGGTACACCCACAGTGCTGTTAGCAGGATTTTGACCCAGCAACAGTGAAAAAATGGTGACATTGTTCCATGTCAAGACGATATGTGACTTGGAGGTGTTAGTATTCCCATGAATCTGCTGACCCTGATCTTCTAGGTTTTTACAGAAGCCTTCTTCAGTTGTTACAGCACAACTTGTAGATGGTAAACACTCCTGCCACTGAGTAGGTGGTGAAGGGCATGAATATTGAGGACCTTTTATGAAGTGCCAATTAAGCAGGCTGATTTGACCTGGATAGGG